CCCCCCCGGCCGCGCAGGGCGCCCGCACCGGGCCCTGCCCCTGCCACGGGCAGCAGCCTGGGAGCTCCAGCAGAGGCGAGCACCTCTCCGATGCCAGCCAGCCCCACGATCCCTGCCACCCCCAAGCAGGCCCTGGACGAGGAGGACATAAGGAACATCATCGGTGAGTGCGTGCGCCTCTTCCCTGCTCTTGCCCATTGCCCCAAATCCAGCACCAATTCAGCTGTACTCTTGGTGGCTGGCTCGTGCCCCCAGCTTATCTTGTGTGCTGACCCCCACCAGGGCTCGCTGGTGTACAGTGCCCTGCTAAATGCAGCACAGATGAATTTGATCACCCATGGAAGGTACCATGGAGAATGGGCCTGGACAGCGCCAAGTTTTGCTTGCTTGTTAACTCTGAAACCTAATGTGGCCACTTCCCAGGTTGAGGGGTTAGGCAGGCTATAAAGAGGCCTCCTTGGAGAGGGATCGGAGGCAGCTGGCAGCCTCAGAGCAGCTCCTGTGGTGGCCTGCCGGAGATGTCACAGGTCCAGGGAGCCCTGCTTGGGCTGTGCCCTGGTTGGGGCAGGCTGGCTTGCAAGGCAGGGACGCAGCTGAGCCACGGGAGTTGGTGGGGGAGCCCCTTGCAGGATCCAGCCAGCAACACGGGGCCTTGGGCAGCCCAGGCAGAGGCAGCCAGGGTAACCCCTAGGTTGGCAAGGGGACAGGGTGAGCGGCCAGGGACAGAGGTGGGTGATACCCCCAGCAGGAGTGGGGAGAGCAGGGCGGCTGCCCTGCCTCGTGCCTTGCGAGACTCTCTCTGCTTGCACAGGGCGCTGCAAGGACACACTTTCCACCATCTCGGGGCCCACCACGCAGAACACATATGGGCGCAATGAGGGAGCCTGGATGAAGGACCCCCTGGCCAAGGAGGAGCGGATCTACGTCACCAACTACTACTATGGGAACACGCTGGTGGAGTTCAGGAATCTGGACAACTTCAAACAAGGTGGGCTTGCGCCGACCCTTTCTCCAGTCCCTGTGTCCCCAGCGCTGCCCTGGCTGCAGCTCAGCTGGTCCAAATAACACCCTGGTCCCAGGGCCCCTGCTCCCCGGCAGGACCCTGCTGAGGACCCTCTCAGCTACGGAGATGGGGAGCCCCTCTCCAGCACTGGTACCGGGCCTGAGGGGCCCGGGGGGGCTCGGAGCATTGGGCAGAGCCAGGTGCCCATGGCAGCTCTTGCCTGGCTTATCCTGGGGCAGTGTTGAGCCCAAGAGGGGCTGTCGTGGCAAGATGCCCTTGACAGAACAGACCAGGGCCAAAGGAGAGTTCGAAGGAGCAGGAGGAGAGCATCACGACAGGCTGTGGATGGAGGCCGGGAAGGGTGCGCAGGCAGGGCTGGAGGGCAGAGGGTGGCAGTAACGGCTGCAATGGGGACAGGCACCACAGAGGGCAGGGTTTCACCAGCAAAATGTCCCTGCCCCTCAGGGCGCTGGAGCAACTCCTACAAGCTCCCGTACAGCTGGATCGGCACGGGGCATGTTGTCTACAATGGGTCCTTCTACTACAACCGGGCCTTCACGCGCAACATTATCAAATACGACCTGAAGCAGCGGTACGTGGCCGCCTGGGCCATGCTACATGACGTGGCCTATGAGGAGTCCACGCCGTGGCGGTGGCGGGGCCACTCAGATGTGGACTTTGCTGTGGATGAGAACGGCCTGTGGGTCATTTACCCGGCCATCAGCTATGAGGGCTTCAACCAGGAGGTGATTGTGCTCAGCAAGCTGAACGCGGCCGACCTCAGCACGCAGAAGGAGACCACGTGGCGGACGGGGCTGCGCAAGAACTTCTACGGGAACTGCTTTGTCATCTGCGGGGTGCTCTACGCGGTCGACAGCTACAACAAGAGGAACGCCAACATCTCCTACGCTTTTGACACGCACACCAACACGCAGATCATCCCCCGGCTGCTCTTTGAGAACGAGTACGCCTACACCACGCAGATAGACTATAACCCCAAGGATCGCCTTCTCTACGCCTGGGACAACGGGCACCAAGTCACCTACCACGTGATCTTTGCCTACTGAGACCCCAGCGACAGTGGGATGCTGTGAGGGGCCACCAGCACCTTTTATTATTATTGTTATTGTTATTGTTATTATTATTATTATTATTATTATTTTGTACAAATCAAAGAGTAAATGATGGGTTTTGTTCATTTTGTTTTTTTAAAGGTGGATCGTAGATCGATCCCAAGGCCAGATTCACCACCTTTCTCCTTG